GCGGTCACCGGCGTCACCATCTTCATGATCTTGAACGGGCCACAGAAACGTGGTCATAATTTTGTCGGTAGTGGCAGTCGTAAATTCTTGGTGTCCAAAAGGACTAGTTGCCCTGATGTCATCGTAATATCCCTGCGATGTAAATCCGTATACCGTCGGGCAGTTGTGTTCGCCTTACGAATAAGTTCGACAGCTTTGTCTCGGGCAGTCTGTAATTCTTCGACGAACTGCTGCGATCGTGGTACTTGACTCTCAACGTTGGTGGAGACGGGAACTGTAGGGTCCATCCCGTAATTGAGATAAAACGGGGAGTGATTAGTCGTAGCCGAGGGCGCGTTGTTGTAGGAAAATTCCAACATGGGCAGCACGTCCTCCCATTTTTTCCGTTCGGGGCAGTTTGTCCGAATTAGCTGCTCCATTGTTTGATTTGTCCTTTCCGTCTGTCCGTCCGTTTGGGGATGATACGCGGATGAGAACTGTAGACGCGTGCCGTACCGAGCCCACGTGTCCTGCCAGAATTTTTACGTGAACTTCGGATCTCGATCGCTAATGATTGCTGCTGGTATCCCGTGTATGCGAACAACGGTCGAGATGAACAGGCGCGCTTTTTCTTCGGTTGTGATGGTTGTACGACATGGTGCGAAATGCGTTATTTTCGTTAATCGGTCGACGACAACCAAAACCGCGTCGTTTCCGCTGGGTCCGGCCGGTAGTCCCGTAACGAAATCCATCGTTACGTGTTGCCATGGGCGTTGAGGTGGCTCGAGGGGCTGCAACAGTCCTGTAGATCGCTGGTGCGATGACTTCATTCGCTGGCAGATCGGACACGCAACCACGTAACGCTGCACGTCCGTCACCATATCTGGCCAGTAATAAAACCGCTGCAACGCCTTCAAAGTTTTATCAACCCTGAAATGTCCCGATAAATTCGAATCGTGGACTTCTTGAATTAGTAATTCGCGAAGTAGACGATAACTTGGGACCCAAATTCGATCAGTCCCGCTTCGTAAGTAATAGACGCCTTTCCAAATAGTGATTGGGAGATGGCCGTCGTTTACGAAGAATGGGTCAGTCGAATACCCGTGGGTGAATAGTCCACTCAGTAGCGGGTTGCTCTGGGCGACTAGTACTGCTGCAAGTTGGGCAGATGGTCTGGAAAGGGCGTCGGCAATATTGTTGGCGCCCTTTTTATACGTGATCTTGTACGTGAAGTTCGACTCCAGATAGTCCAGCCAGCGTATCTGCCGCGGGTTGAGATTCGGCTGCGCCCGTAGTTACTGTAATGATTTGTGATCGGTTCGCGCCGTCACGTCTGCTCCAGTCAGGTAGCACCTCCAGATTTTAAACGCGTGGACGATCGCCAGCATCTCCTTGTCGTGTACCAGGTAGTTGCGCTTAGCAGATTGCATTTTCCGAGACTCGTACGCAATTGGTTGAAGCCCGTTGCCGAAATCCTGCATGAGCACTCCTCCGATGGCGATGTCACTTGCGTCGGTGATGACTTCGAAGGGCCGTTCTGGGTCAGCGATGCGAAGTACCGGTGGCGACATTAAAAGATTTTTTAATGCCTCAAACGCAGCTTGCTGCTTCTCCCCCCACTCGTAAAAAGTTCCCTTCTGTAGTAGGTCGGTTAGAGGTCCAGTTAACCCCGCCATGTTGGGTATAAACCGTCGCACGTAGTTCACGAAACCCAAGAATGATTGCAGCTGCTGCAGATTTGTTGGCGGTTGCCACTCCTGAATAGCCCGGAGTTTTTTTGGGTCTATTCGAATCCCCTCCGTGGAGATCACATGCCCCAGGAACTCCAGTTCTTGTTTTAAAAACTCGCACTTGGAGCCCTTGGTGATGAGACGATGCTGCTGCAACCGCTGAAAAACCGCTTCCAAATCCCGTAAATGCTGCTCCCAGGTCTTGCTGTAGATCAAGATGTCGTCCAAGTAAATTATCACGCATTTGTCGAGTAGATCGCGGAACACCCTGTTCATGGTGAGTTGAAACGTCAAGGGGGCGTTCGTTAATCCAAACGGCATCACCGTGTATTCGTAACTCCCATAGCGAGTACGAAACGCGGTCTTGTGGCAGTCGTCAGCGAACACTCGAATTTGATGGTAACCGCCACGAAGGTCGATCTTCGAGAAGTAGCGAGCTCCGCGAAGGTTGTCGATCAGTTCATCCGTTCGTGGGATTGGGTAGCGCGATTTAATCGTTACCCGATTTAGGGCACGATAATCCGTACACATGCGAAGTCCGCCGTCCTTTTTTGGTGTGAACAGGATCGGTGCTGCGAACGGGGACGTGCTCGGCCGAATGAACCCTTTTGCCAGCACGTAGTCCAGCTGGTTTCGTAACTCCTGTAGCTCCGGCTAAGTCAGGCGCCATTGCGTGCGTACTGTAGGCTGCGCGCCAGGCTCAAGCTCGATTTTGTGGTCCTGGGGTCGTTCGGGTGGCAGTCCACTTGGCAAGTCGTCCGGGAAGATCTCGGGATATTCTCGAATGATTTTTGCCAAGTCATCTGGGACCGAGGCGCAGAGTTTGTTGATGTCGGTCGCCTCATTCTGCTCCATCGATTCGGCTAGATGGACGGCGTATAAATCCGCTCCATTCTTGACCGCTCGCTTGAGGCACACCGCGTTGACTCGTGTCGATGTTGTCTCTGCTTCCGGCCACGTGGGTAATTTTCACCAACCTTTGTCGCACTTCAATGTGCACTCGCCTGTTGTCCAATCGATCTGCGGGTTGAATCGTCGCAGCCAATCGCGTCCCAATAGCACGTCGTAGCCGTCGAGCGTTGTCGCCAGCATCGGCGCGCTGAAACCAAAATCGTCGCCACACTTCATTCGAACGACAGGTACTTTGTCGCGTATCGCCAGCGGGGTGCCGTCCACCAATCGCGCGTCGATTTCGGGTAGACACCGCTCCAGCGTCAGGTGTAGTCGTCGTGATGTCTCTCGATTTATCAGGCTGTGACTCGCACCTCCATCGATGAATATTTTTATTTTTCTTCCATGAAGTCGTCCTTCCGCCAGCACAAAGTGGTCCACTGGGTCATCCCCCTTATTCAGCCGGGAGCGGTTGATAGCATGTATCGGAACCACTACTCGGTGGGGATGGTGTTTTTCGGGCGAGGAGACAGGGTCAGTAGGGGGCCCGACCGCTACTGACGCTTGGCGTTTCCCGACCTGTCTTCGTCGTTCTTCTTTATCTGCTTCTTTCGGGGGCAATCGTGAGATTGGTGACCCGGCTGGTGGCAGTTGAAACATTGTCCCTTGCAAAAATCGTCCATGTGCTCCTTCGCCACTACGCCGTGAATCGTGGGCCGTGGATTCTGGCCACGAAAACGATTTCCCTCCCGGGAACCCGCTCTCGCATACGTCCGATGTGCGTCGAAATTATCTGCGATCCGGACAGCTTCGTGAAACGTCGCCGGCAGTCGCAGTCGGACCTCGCATTTAATGTCCTGCTTCAAGCCCGAGATGAATCGAGCTTTCTTCTCGGAGTCATGCATGTCGATGATTTGATCGCATAACGCCATGAAGACCGACGCGTAATCCTGGACAGAACTCCACTGGCGCCAGTTGTCCAGCTTCGTGCGTGCGTTGTCCGAGGCGGATATTGGCTCGAAACGTTCACGCAGAGTGTACCCCACGCCTTCCACGTGCGAATCTTGGTCGATCCAAAAATCGCGGTTGACCCTTGGGCAGCAGACCCAAAGTTTCCGAAAAACCCCTGTGTGTCGCCTGCCGAAAACTCCCCCTCTTGTAGAGTATATCGCCACCAATCTAGCGCAGGTCCCCTCAGTAGTGATACAGCCAGTCGAATTTTTAAATCGTCAGCAGTGATCCCAGCGGCATTAAAATAGAGTTCCGCTGAAAATAACCAACCCGTAACAGTGGGGTTGAACGGGGGCGGCATTGTCGGTTTGATTGTCGCTGTCGTCACGATCGGCATAAACGTCGGTGTGGCTACAGTAGCTGCTGCTTCTGACCGAGCGGCTGCTGCTGCTGCTTTGGCTGCTGCTCGTGCTGCCACGTCAGCTGCTGCGGCGGCTTCACTGTCCTTGCGCTCCTGTGACACCTGACGTGCGATTTTGTCCAAGACGGTTTCGACACGTCCGGTGCTGGCGACCTCCTCTTGGGCGGCAATTTTCTGACGTGAATCCTCTCGCGCCTGGCGTAACTCAGCAACTTCCGCACGAAGTCGCTTGTTGTCCTCCAGCACTGTAGCCATGCGCGTGTTCATGGCGTTGAACTGCTCCCGAAGCTCGTTGAACTGAGCTTGGTCCATTTGGCGAATGCTCCGCCGGGGCAGGGGGAATTCCGTCGTGTGCCTGTGCTCAGGTAAGCGCAAACGCTATCGTAGTTGGGCGAATTAATCAATCTAATTCGCGAGCAACCGCTTTGCAGCTTACGTGAGGGACCTACCGCCCCCCAAAAAAAATCAACTCACGAAAACGGGTGAGCGAGGAAAGTGGCTCTGATAACCAGGTGTTATGAATGAACAAGCAGAGTAGCACGGAAATGAATAACGAAGTGTTCACTCAATGAATTGACGATACAAGGAATGACAAGCCAAGATATAGGAACACCAGAGCTAGTCTAACCATGCGATGGGAAGGTTCGGGAAGGAGATCGAAGGGTCTCGAAGTGACGAAGCGAGGCCTGGAGAACTCCCGAAGGTCGAACCGAAAGGTCTGGAGAAGCCGAGGCGGTTCTGTCAGAAGGTCTGGAACAGTCCCGAGGCTTCAGGTGTGTTCGAGCGTACGCGATAGCAGTACCGCTCGGTAAGGAATGGAAAATTCCTTGCACACCGCGTCAATGTTCAGTTTCATCCGGGTGCATGGGGTTACCCACTTTTTTGCGCTACGATTTTGCTGGCAACTTGGGATCTGGTCTTTAAACCTCTCCTGGAACCACCACAACGAAGATTCCTTCTTGCAACGCGTGCCCCCAGCCAATTCCCGAAGGACAGACAAGACAACATCCACACCATCCCCGTCGACCGGCAAATAAGATCCGTGGGCTTTGTATCCTCCGTGCCCTGAGCTGAAGTCTCAGAACTCTCCACTCGTCCAATCACCATCAGAATCGAACAACTGATCATTCAGGTCATACAACTCTCACAGGACGTGCAACGAACATACAACAACCACACTTGTCGAATATATTAAAAAGGTCCGTAGTTTTAGTATTCTCCTTCTAGTAGCTGAAACTTTCCACCCAGTCATCATCATAATAACTGAACAACTGATCAGCCGAAGAATAATCGCCGTAGTAAGGACTCAAGTCGTAACCATAGTCGTAGCTGCTACCGTATCCCAAGTCACTCCAGTAATCCGGATAATAATCGTACGAATCCAAAGTGCTATAGCGAGCCACAGGGCGCGTCTCCAACCCGCCTCCGCGCAGCATCCGCGGACCGCTAGCGTGCGCGATTCTGGCGCGCTTCGGCAGGAATCTGGTGGGAGGGACGAAAGCGGAATCTGGGCCGTAAATCGCGTGCATAGGGCTGGCCCGCTTGGGGCGGTAGCGACGGGACATCACGAATTCGCCTTCCGTGTCGTAAAATTGGCGCATGGGACTGGCGCGCTTGGGGCGAAACCTGCGCGGAGACGGCTCGCGCTGGTCTAGCAGCGGGTGCGCAAGGCTGGCGCGCTTGGGGCGGAACGTATGGGGCTGCGGATACCAGCGGTGCCCGTCCATAAATACCGCAGGGCTGGCGCGCTTCGGGCGAGCCCTCTTGGGACGCGCGAGCGCGGCATCGAGAGTGCCGAGGAGGACGAGAAGGAGGATGGCGTACACAAGCGGCCTCATCGCGATGGTTCTTGGAGCTTGGAGAAATATAAATGAATGCTAGGAATGCAGGCGAGACTGTAGAAGCGGAAAGGGATCACGCGGGAAGTAGCAGCGGGATATCCACAAGTTCAAGAGATCCTGCATGGTTGGGTGAAAACGACCTTGCGGGGAGAATCTGAGGGCTGTATAAATCTTAGCAATTTGACTAGGGACAGGGGAAGTGGGGTCTGTGCTTGGTGTGGTTTGGCTTGTGTGCCTAGGGAAAGGGGAAAGGGGCTTGTGTGGTTTGGGGAGGGGAAAGGGGGGTGGGTTTCAGGTCAGGCGTGCTCCTTGTTGGCATGCGATGGGATATGGAGAGCGAACAGCGAGCGATTCCAACGAAGCGAATTTCATGTACGCAGGGCTGGCGAGTGGAAATTCTGAATTCGCAGGACTCGGTGAGAGCGCGGAGAACTCAAGGGGTTACCGCTCACGATTCGCTTCCTTCCCTGGAGTCAACGGGACTGGGGAGCACTGTTGCTGAGGTAGTCGAAATTCGCCGAGCCAAGAATGGTGCTGATCTGGCGACTCAAACGCCCTCCCATGGCTTGACACGATGAATAGCGGTACAGCAAGGCGGAGCAGTCCATAACATGTATGTACAGCTTTGAACTCCAACGTACCAAATTTCATACACTACTTCTTCCTATAGGTATGTTGCATTATACTTTCACTACCACGTTTCACGTTGTTAGCATAAATAACACGTCGTTGATAAAAATGTACCACCACGATATGTATGTGCATATTATTATCAACAAAGAGAATGTGCAGATTGCATGTAAAGACGGTCCATTGTGGGTAACAATTTTCGTTCATTCAAAACATGCCACTTTATCCTGCCCTTGCTCCTAGAGAAATGTTGAAGAGGCGTGCACTGACGAGAGTGTGGATGTGAAAACATGAGCTACAATTGAAGCAACTTTGCACATATGGTAACCCCAAACAAGCTTCATGTTATGAATTAATCAGAGTAATAACATGTAGTGTAATAAAGTCTTAGAAACTTATGACGCTAGCTTGACTAGGCAGCTAGGATACTAGGAAAGGACACCATGGAATGGCGGGAGGAAAGTAGCTCTAGGAACGTGAGGAGAAAAGTCGAGAAAGAAGGGAGTTCGATAAGGAAGAGAGAGGAGTACAAGGAGGGGATTGTACCCTCTACAAAAAGGTTCAGTAAGAACTATCAAGCCTATCAATTATATATAACTTATATAATCTTGACACACCCCCTAGGCTTGATAGTCACACACCCACCCAACACCACACACCCCCGACACCCTTACACCCCCATGCTCGTAAGCAGCCGGGCATCTACCCCTCGTGCGTAACGTGGTGACATCCCCACCCGCCGAGAGGCAGCAAAGGCAACGGCCGCGGCTGAGGGCTCTCGGCGGTGTGTCACGGCCCGGCGACGACCGGGTAGGAGTCAGCAGCTGCAACAGGAGCAGGAGGAGATGCAGGGGGAAGGAAGAATGGGGGGGGGGGCGGTGGCGAGTCTTCAGCGACGCGCCATAAATGGCGCAGCGCTTACTGGCGGGAGGACGGCGTCCTGAGTGACGCCCGTGGCTGGCGAGCGGGCGGCAGGTCCGACGGCGCCACAGACGTCGCTCGGCCGGCCGCAGCCCGACGATGCCGTCGGCCGCCCTAGACGCCGCCCCAGCGCGACGTCAATGCTGCAGCGGTGAGGCGAACGGGCGACGGCTGCACCATGAGCCCGCGGCAGCATCTCGTAACGGCTGTCGTAGCGGCACGAAGACGAGAAGACGTCGTGGTGGCGCGACAACAGAAGGCCGCCACGGCGGCAAGGGACTGAATGGCCGCGACGGCGGCACGTACGCAAACGGTGAAGGCACGCAGCGGAAGCACGGAGAGCAGGCCCAGAAACGGCCGCACTGATACCATCTTAAAAACTTTGGACGCTAGCTTGACTAGGCAGCTAGGATACTAGGAAAGGACGACATGGAATGGCGGGAGGAAAGTAGCTCTAGGAACGTGAGGAGAAAAGTCGAGAAAGAAGGGAGTTCGATTAGGAAGAGAGAGGAGTACAAGGAGGGGATTGTACCCTCTACAAAAAGGTTCAGTAACAACTATCAAGCCTATCAATTATATATAACTTATATAATCTTGACATAAATTAGTCGTGATTCAAGAGTGTCGATACAAATGAGGGCCTACGCATTTATAGGCACGAACAGAGCTAGCCAAGAACCACGCGAACAGGTTGGGGCGGTCCGGTTGCTGAAAGCTACGGAAGCGCCGCGCGTCTAGGTTTGGGTTTGCGAAGTGGTTCGGGACCGAAGAAGTTGGCCGGGCCTGGACTTCCGAGAGTCGAGTGTTAGAATACGAGAATGCAGGAAAGGAGAAGGCCGCCATGAAATGGCGGCCGAGGATTAGCTAGGGTAGATTGACGAGAGAGAAGAGAGTCGATTAGGAAGAGAGAGGGGTACAAGGAGGGGATTGTACCCTCTACAATAAGGTTCGGTAACAACTAACAAGCCTATCAATTATATATAACTTATATAATTTTAACATCGAAGGCGTACGCGCTGTAGTCGAGCCCTGTAAGGAAAAGGGAATTTCGTTACACCACCCCCCCTTCCAGGATGAGACTACCCACATCCGAGACACGTCGTCGATGTAAATAGTCCCGGACAACTCTGTTTTCACCGAGCGTGGCTGCGGGAACCCAGAGGTCGTCGTCACTTGTGCAACCGACCCAGCGTACAAGGAAATCGAACGTTGCTGTATCTCGATGTCCCCGTATGCAATGAGCGACGATCTTGAACGGTGCTATCGTCAGCTCGAGTACTGGGTTGACCGTAGGATTAATATGTTGACGGTCGAGATTGGTCGCACTCGAGACAAACGGTCGTAGGAGACTGACGTGGAACGAATCGTGAATTCGCCAGTCGGTTCACAGTTGCAGCTGGGCAGTGACTAGTTTCACCATGCGGATGATGCGGAAGGGGCCACAAAATCCTGGTCATAATTTATTTGGGAGGGGGATTCCCAAATTCCTGGTGTCGAGCGGGACCAATTGCTCAGGGACAAGTGTTAAGTCTCGGCGTCATCGGTCAGCTTGCTGCTTAGCCTTTTGGTTGGCTTTGAGGATGGCATCGGCGGCTTTTTGCTGAGACTGTCGGAGATTTTCGACGAACTGCTGAGACCTTGGTGCTGGATTTTCTATCGGTGGTAATAGAGGGGTTGTCGGATCTATCCCGTAATTAAAGAAGAACGGGGACTGAGTAGTTGTGGCCGATAGGGCATTGTTGTACGCAAACTCGATCAAGGAGAGGGTGTCTTCCCATTGGGCTGGGTCTGTGCATATTGTGCAAATCAGCTGCTCCATCGTCTGGTTGGTGCGCTCAGTCTGACCGTCCGATTGCGGGTGGTATGCCGTAGACAGGTGCAAATGTGTGCCATACTGTTGCCAGGTTTTTGTCCAGATTTTGGACGTAAACCGTGGGTCGCGATCGCTGATGATTGCCAATGGGATGCCGTGTAGCTACACGATGTTCGTGAGGAACGGTTTCGCTGTCTGCTTGGCAGTAATTGTCGTTTTGCAGGCGGCGAAATCGGCCATTTTTGTCAACCGGTCAACGACGATGAGGACCGCGTCGTTACCGCTTGAACCAACTGGTAGGCCACTAACGAAGTCCATCATCATTTGTTGCCAGGGTCGCCTGGGTAGCTCGAGCGGCTGCAACAATCCAGCAGGTCGAAGTCGTGAAGACTTCATGCGTTGACATGTGGCGCAGGAGGTGACGTACTGCTACACGTCTGTCGGTAGGTCGGGCTAGTACTAATTACGGCTCAGTAATTTTGCGGTTTTTTCAATGCCGTAGTGACCCGAGAAATTCGAGTCATGTGCCTCCTTGATCAGAAATTCCCGTAGGGTGTGGTAAGCGGGAACCCAAATCCGATTGGTACCGGATTTTAGATAATAGACCCCTTGCTTGACCGTCAGTTTGGGATGACTGTTAGTGGTGAATAATGGGTCGTAACTGTAGCCGTGGGTGAATAGGCTTGTTAGCAGCGGATTGGCTTGGGTAATTAGGACTGCCACGGTGTGGACCGAGGGGCAGGTCAGTGCATTGGCGATGTTGCTGACCCCTCGTTTGTAGGTGACTCTATAGTGGAAATTGGACTCGAGGTAGTTGAGTCAGCGAATCTGTCGAGGATTCAATGTCAGTTGGGCACGGATGAACTGTAGCGACTTGTGGTCTGTTCGGACTGTTACGTCGGCGCCAGACTTTGAAAGCGTGAACCATGACGAGTAACTCCTTGGCGTGGACAGGATAATTTCGCTCGGCCGGGTTCAACTTTCGTGGCTCGTAGGCGATCGGTTGTAGGCCTTCACCGAAGTCTTGTAACAGGACTGCGCCAACGGCCAGACCACTAGCGTCGGTGATGAGCTCAAATGGATGATGGGGATTTGCAATCTGAAGAACCGGCGGTGTGATAAAAAAAAAAATGAGCTTTTCGAGCGCAGCTTGCTGCTCTCCCCCCAACTCAAAAAACGTGCCCTTCTTCAGGAGATCCGTAAGAGGGGAAGTTACCCCCGCCATGTTCGGAATTAAGCGGCGGACGTAATTAACAAACCCAGAAAACTCTGAAGTTCACGGAGATTAGCTGGCGGCTTCCAGTCTTGGATTGTCGCGATTTTCTTGGGTCGATTTTAACACCGTCGATGGAAATCACGTGACTCAAGAACTCCAGCTCGTGTTTTAAGAACTCGCACTTTGAGCCCTTGGTGCTGAGTCGGTTCTGCTGCAGAAAGTGAAAACCACTTCCAGATCCTTCAAATGCTGCTCTCGGGTTGTGCTGTAGATGAGGATGTTGTCGAGGTACACGATAACGCATTTATCCAGCTGTGGCCGAATGGCATGACCGTGTACTCGAAACTCCAGTACCGGGTTCGAAATGCCATCTTGTAGCAGTTAGCTTTGTGCACGCGAAGTTGGTGGTAACCGCCACGCATGTCAATCTTGGAAAAAAATATGGCCCCGCGAAGTTGGTCGATGAGGTCGTCTGCACGTGGAATGGGGTAGCGAGACTTGATGGTAACCCGATTCAAGGCACGGTAGTCAATACACATACGTAGACCGCCATTTTTTTTATTATTATTTTTTTTTGTGAAC